GCATATTACAGTTATACCACACAATGCTACAGGAAAAGCATCTATAGAAAGATTTAACCAAACTGTAAAAGATATGCTTAATAAACAGAAAGGGGTAATAAAGACACCCAGAGATACATTGAATAATGCTTTATTAACTTTAAAATTTTAAAATGCTAATGAAAAAGGAACAACAGCTGCAGAGAGACATTGGATAATAGAAAAAGAATGAACTAAATCAGCCTGTGTACTTTAAGGATTTGTTGACCTCAGAAAGGAAACCAGGGTATGTGTTACATTGGGGAAGAGGTTTTGCTTTCACTTCCACAGGAGAAGAAAAGCTATGGATACCGTCAAAATTGCTAAAGATTAGATTTGAACATGAGAGACCCCTTGATTAAGACAGATGATAGTTCTTCAACAACCTGACAATTCAACCTAACAAAAAGCAAAACTCCCCAAAGTTAAGGTTGGGGCAGGGTTTCATTTTTGTCTTTTCAGGAAAATTAAAAGCATCCAACTAAGGAATCTAAACATCATTGAACAAATGAGACATCTGAAGGATGAATTATCCAGAGAAAAATGCCCTAAGAAAAACAGTAATTTGGCCTAATAGCATAGCACCCTTTCAATAGGATAAAAAAAAAAAACTCATAAATCTGCCCAAATGTTTGTTTCTACTGTTCTCTAAAAACATATAAGACAAAAGGTAGTCCCAATTCAATTAAAAACTAAAGTTGGCTTTGGGGTTGGAACATGGTTTTCTCCTTATCTAAGATCAGGCATGCTTGTAAAGGAAAATCTATAATCTCTGTCTCATGTCAGAAGAGCCACCTGGTATGGGGCAAAAGAAAAACAAAAATTAAGAACTATTCTATTGCCCCAATGTCAAAATCCTTTGATTTTTTCTTTTGACTCTTTAAAACTTTTTTAAGGTATAAATATTCTCCTAATATTTGTAATATATATATGCTTAATAGATTGTAGGTATACCTAATTGTGGTCCTTTAACCCTTCCAATGTCTGCTGCATATGACATTTAAATTCTTTAAGTTTCCTTCAGTGAACCATGACCACTCCGAACAGTGAGCTTTGAGTTTCCAAAGAGATGTTGGGTTCCCACAATGATGAATACCCTGGATTATGATAATACCACCAAACTGGCAAACACCATGCAAAGGTCAGCTCTAGACTAAAAACTGCTCAGGACAATTTCAATGCAGTAGCTAAGATGGTCCAGCCTCATAGACTACTCCAGTCGGGACTTCAGATAATCCTTCCCCAATTCCATCACACCAAGACTGGACAACTAGCTCCTCCAGAACTTGACCATTATCTTAATTTTCTCAGGGTCCCCTAAAGATGCCATCACCTGTGGCATGAATTCTAGTTGGCATTAATAATAAAAATCCAGAGACAAATATTGGGGTTAAAACTGAAGATCAGAAAAGCAAAGTGGCCAGCCACTAGAGAGTTCTCACCTCTACCAACGCTCAGACTGAAAGAGTGATCCACTGAACCTTAGACTGCTCTCCTGTCCACCAAACCAGACTACAATGAGCTCCTGTCTCTAGTGATGGGATTAAAGGTGTGTACCATCACTGCCTGACCTCTATGGCTAACTAGCATGGCTGCTGGGGATTAAAGGAGTGTGCCATCACTGCCTGGCCTCTATGGCTGTGGCTATCTTTGCACTCTGATCTTCAGGCAAGCTATATTTGTTAGATCATAAACAAAATATCACCACAATTGCTCCCAGACAATAGAAAATAATTTTAAGAACATGATACCCACATTCACAAAAGGCAGGGTGAGTGGTTTTTGGTTATTCAATGGAGGCTTGTCATTGCTTAGGGGGGTTGGTAACAAGTTGTTATTGGTCATGTTCAGGGAGGATACTAGGCAAAGGAAATTAGATTCAGGGATCCTGTTCTGAAAAGAAAAAGGAAGATATAGAAATAATAAGATAAAAGAGTAGATTACTGTATCTACTTTCAAACAAGAGAAAACAACTATTAGTCTCATTGGTATGGATTTTTGTATATTGTTACAAATTTAAGGTTATTTTTATTATACTGTATATATGTTTCTATTCTTTTTTTTTTTTGGTTTTTTTGAGACAAGGTTTCCCTGTCTTGCTTTTGGAGCCTGTCCTGGAATTGGCTCTGTAGACCAGGCTGGCCTTGAACTCACAGAGATTTGCCTGCCTCTGCCTCCTGAGTGCTAGGATTAACGGTGTGAACCACCAACACCCTGCTTATATGTTTCTATTCTTGTGTAAGATATTTTTGTATATTTATATGAATTTGAAGCTATTTTTGTTATACTGTATATATGTTTCTATTCTTGTATAAGATATTTTTGTATATTGATACAAATTTAAAGTTACTTTGTTATGCTGTATTTTATGTTTCTATTTCTTGCTTAAGGTATTGCACTTATGCAGCTCATTATAAAATGTAAAGTCCTAGTCCGTGAAAGCTATTTAGGATGTAAAGAAATACAGGTTAGTAATTAGTCATCTATAACAATCAAAATTGTAATCATGTTAGGTAGTATTTTCTAGGTCAATCAGTGACATATTTTAAATAGATGGTCTTCAAACACTTCAGAGACCTACAGAATATGACATTTTAATATTTTAATAACATGGGCTCTTCATGACAGTGAGACACATCTCCTCCTGGCAGCACCTATCTACTTCTTAAAAGGATTATGGTCATCAAAGAACCTCCATATGAAGTTTACTTTCTTTGTGGCAAAAGCTAGCCATTTGGGCTGACAGTATGCTGTCCAAACTGAACAAGCAGAACACAAAAGGAAACAACTGCCAAACTTTGCTAAGACAGGGTAGGACAATCCTTCAAAAATTGCTATTTCACCGAAAAGTCTGTCAGCTAATTTTCTAGGCCCATGAGCCAAAGATGGATGCCCCAACATTAACAGAGGAACCCTGGGGTGACTGCCCAGGCAGCCAGATGTTTCTGTCATTTTATAGTTTTGGAAGTTGCTTGTTCTGCCCTTTCTGTTTAATCAGGTAATATTATATCCTTCTCGGGTCTTTGATGAAGTTGAAGACTAGATAGCTATAATTACAATTTACCTTAGTCATGACAGAAAGTAAATTAAGTACAAAACTCTGGACTCATGAAGAGAGGATAGAAAATGGCATATTTCCTGCAAATTTGTCAAATACTATGGATATTGTAAATGTATTTCTTACTTGGTAATTGTATGCATTGTAGTTTTGCCTCCTTAGAGTTAGACCCTTTCCTCTTTATTTAGACAGAAAGGGGGAAATGTTGCAGGAGAATTGTCCATATAGACATTCCACTGTGTTAATAAAGCAACCTTGAATCTAGGATGGAGTCAGTGACTGGCTGACCAGGATCAGCCATAAATTCTTGAAGGACTTTACAGGGTGGCTAGAGAGGACAGGAAGAGACTCGGGAGGAGTTGGGAGAGCATGATTTCTGGTGCTGGAGGTTCCAGAAATTGTGGAGAGAGGGTTGCTCAATCTCTCTGCTTTCCTTGGATTCATCATGTCTTTATCTCAATTTCTGACTCCCAAGTCTTTAATTATACTAGAACCAATTAGGTAATTGTTTCATTTGGCAGCTACATTGTCCCACACCCACAGTGACAGAAGCAAGTGACCATGGACTGAGACAATGGAATCCTAAACTAAAGTAAAAGTAAATCTTTTAAAGTTCTTATCTCAGACACTTTGGAGTAGTTAGTATTTGCCTTAAGGATAAAATGTAAGGCTGCAAATCTTCTAGGAAAGAGGGAGTGGGGAAGAGAACAGAGAAGGAGGAGGAGGAAGTAGTAGCAGTAGAAGTAGAATGTTAGTGACCATGAGTTAGATCAAAATTTCTTAAGACATAAAACGCATAAATTATACTTTGAAAATTGATATATTGGATTTGCTCAGCACTAAAACATTTGCTCTCCAAATGACATGATTAAGAAAGCGAAAATATAAGCCAAATACTAGGATGTTTATAAAACTGCATTTGAAAGGACTTAGAACAGAAATGAATAATCACAGCTCAACAGTAAAAAGTCAAACAGCGCAGTGTAAATGAGTAAAAGACTTGAACAAAGGCTACATTAAAAAGATACAAGACTAACAAGCGAGCACATGAAAAGATACTTAGCACCATTAGTCATTAGAGAAATGTAAATTAAAAGCACAAAGAGACACCATTTCATACTTCACCTGATGATGGTTGTAATTACAAAAGCTGGCAAGACCAAGGTTTTATGATGTGGTAAACAATTAGAACTCTCATATACTGTTAAATGTCTGAAAAATAATAAGTACCCCAATATATTATCAATTAGTCATATTAGTGAGCACTTAGCATGCCTATAGATGGGAAGTGTGAACCGTACAAAATGGAGAAGCCTGAAAAGGCCTCTACCATCATAAAACCGTCTAACCAGGCTCTTTCCCCCTCCATTCTTTGAATCATCCTCTTACAGCCTCCCATCTTTGGCCCCGGGGCTAATGCTGTGTGTTGTAGATATAGATGGGGGTCATTCCCGTGTGTTGCATTGGGAAAGTCTTGGGGTAAGGGGTCCACTCTGAGGCTATGATGGACATTAACGAGATTACACTGGAGAGAGCATAAGGGAGATGGAAATGATTAAATTGGTGGACAGATAAAGAAAAGGCCTAAGGGCAGAAAACACAACCAAAGACACATATATAAATTCACACACCCTTACACATGCATTCACACAGACTCACATAAACACACACACATAGACACAAACATACACGCAAACACTCCCATGTGCATTCACACATTCATACACACTCTCACACTCACACATACATACACACTCATATATACATGAACACACAAATGCCCAGTCACATTTTCACGTACACATCCACATATACAAACACACATACATTCAAACACACACATATATATACACACACTCACACACATACATACATGCTCAAACATGCACTCACACATACTCATGTATACACACACATACTCAAATACACAGACACACTCATACACACACATTCACATACACAAACACACACTCACACACTCACACATACATTCACACACACTCCACATTCACTCTCACACACAAAAAACCTTTCTGATAAAAGTTAAGATGTCAGCAGACTTCTGTCACCGTAGAGGTTCCATGTAGCTGCCAGGGTGGTAAAAGCAGGGCCTTGTGGGGGATAAGCTACAGGTCAGTGCTGGGAAATACATAACTCAACAGTGTTAAGAGCATCTACAAGAGTATAGGCCACCTTGAGAGGAAATAGGCTCCCCAACGCAGTGTCCAGACAACTACATGAGAAGATTTATGAGAAGGTGCTTCCAAACATAGGGAGTTGAGGATCCAGCCCAAAGTCTGAAATGAGAAAAATAAAAGGTGTGTACTTGATTGGACACAATGAGCCTGATGGGGAAACAGGGCATTCCACAGCAGAGAAGCCATGGTGTATATAGACTAAAAGGTGCCATGAAAAAGGACAAAGGCCAGATACAGACTCTTCAGACTCTCCAGCACGGGATTTGGTAAAATAAAGGCCAAGTAAATGTAAACAGCTAGGCAGCATGCCAGTGGGTACCATGAGAGTCACAGATGCCCAGCTTACCACGTGTACAGCATGGTAAGGACAATACTTGTGGGACTTTGCCACCTGCTCAGCTAATCAGCAGAACATCCCTGGGCAAAGAGCATCTTATCCAACTCAATCAGCAGAGCTGAGTTCTACTCTGATACAGACCCTCCACAGAGGCTCCCAACCATAAGGTGTCCACATGTGCTCCTCCTGACTTTTTAAACATCAAAGTATTTCTCTTCAGACAGAAGACACTTTGAGGCTACCTATTCCTCTTTCTTCTTCTTCTTCTTCTTCTTCTTCTTCTTCTTCTTCTTCTTCTTCTTCTTCTTCTTCTTCTTCTTCTTCTTCTTCTTCTTCTTCATATTAACAACGATCCTAGAAGCCATACCACAGCTCTTTACAGTACACAAAGTGCAACCCAGCCACCATCCCACTCCACCCCTGTAACAAGCCTGTGAGACACACATTACTACTATTCTGACTTCACACACAAGGAAGTTAAGTGTGGAGAGGTCCAGCTAGCAGGTTGGGATGGCCTTGCTAGTCAGCAGGGATTTATTTTTTTAAATAGTTATGGACTTCGATCACCATGAAAATGTATTTGTGCAGCTCACACTAGCCTGTGAGGGTCCATAGTAAAGGACAAACACTGAAGAGCCCTAAGCTCTCCTACTGAGATGAAACACCAAAACCACACCCAGCCCACTTAGACTTCTCTCAGTTCCACTTGCCTGCCCTGATTGCCAGCCTCAGTGAGTTCCCACTCCTGCTCGGCTAAGAGACTTTCCTTCTAAAAGGAAATCTTTTTGGAGAGCCTCATATAGTTGGTTTCTCCTATGGTGATTGTCTTCCACAAATGTGTTCTTCTACACCACTCTGCCTGGTCCTAGAGAAGCACTTCCCCAGCAAGGTCAGGAAGGCAGTAACCAGCTCCCGGGACTTCTAAGCTTCATGTTGCTTCCATGGTCTTTCTCATTGTGGAGACCTATTATTATGGGACCTCTGTTGTCCCCCCAGGATGTTCCTTAGGAAGAAGGAACTGGATAGAAGTGGGCATTCAGCCTAGGGGTCCGGGCTCAGTCTGTGTCAGTGCTGGGACTGGGGTTCAGCCAGGGTGTAGGCGAGGGCTCCTATTCCCTCTGGGAGGAACACAGCTGGTTACTGCAGAGCATCTTCCTCCACCCACGTGACCACTGCTCAATGCCTAGGTTTCCTGCCTCCCTCCCAACAAGGCTCAGCCACGTTGGGTGGCTCTCCTCCTTTCTCTACGAGTGTGTCCCGTGTGTCCAGTGATGCCTCCCCCAAGATCAGCAGTTGCAGAGGTTGCTGCCTCTGTGCTATACTCTTCACCAGCCTAAAACACACCGCACATGGCCCAGCCATGCTCTTCAGCCACTCCAGCTTGACTCTTTGGCACAAGTCCAGACGAGATTTCTCACAGTGGCTGCTTCAACGTCTTTGCCTTTTCCTTTATTCTCATGCCATTTCAATTGTGTTTTCATCTCCAAAATTCCACTAAAAACGTCTCCTGTCAACTTCCAGGGTCAAATCTAATCATTCCTGTGTTTTTGTTGAATGCTAACACCTTTTTTTTTCTTTTTCCCCACTTACCCCCTCTTTCTCTAATTTTATATTTAATGTATATGAATATTTTGCCTGTCTGTGCATAAGGTGCATGCAGTGCCCGGGGAGGCCAGAAGAGGGTGTCAGATCCTCTATCTCTTTTAATGGCTGTTTCCCTTTCAAAGTTAAAATGAATGCTCTCCCTGGGCTTAGGCCTGGGCTGCCTTCAGTTCTGTCTACAGGTCCTATCTATCTATCTATCTATCTATCTATCTATCTATCTATCTATCTATCTATCTACCATCACCTATCTATTATCACCATCATAGCTAATGGGCCTTAGTGTTCCATCCCATCTCGGTGCAATGAGTCCTAAATGTGTCCACAGCTCTGCTCACTCTCCTGAGCATCAGGATGTTTCTAAGTTGTTTCCTACGACTTCCATTTGGTGTGTAGCCCATGACTACCCCTGGTTCAGTCTTCTCTCCACCACCACAAAATTCTGTTTCTTCCTCAATCTATCTCAACAAATGAAGATGTTTCTCCCCCATCCATCATACCCATCACAAAATGCTAGTTACTGGCTCTAACACTGTGTGAACCAGACATGTTCCCTTTCCTCCAGTCTCACTGCACCCATGTGGGTAAGACCCTCCTTTCCCCATTTCCCCATCTGATCCCAGCCTGGATCCTGCCCAGAATCCTGGATCCCTCTTCTGCTGCCTCACCATCCTTCACCCTGAGGTATGAATGGACTTCCAAGATGGGAATCAGGTCACTGTCTTCTTTCAAACCTCCATGGCTCCTAATTGATGACAGAATTCAAGTTTCTTACCTCAGCTCAGTCATTCTTCACATGGCCCCTAATCTCTGCTGCATTTTTTAAGAGTTATCTCCCTTGTAACCCAGATCTTACTTGTCTTGACTTCCCTGTTTCCTGAACACACATGGTGCCTCCCTACTCACTACAGGGCCTTTGCCAAAGCTGTTTCCTCAGCTGATGGCACCTTCCCTCACATCTTCTGGCAGAACCCTTCTCATCATTCATAGCACAATGTCTACGACTCACACTGTCTCCATTTTTATGTAGTCACCTGTTTATTATTTTCCTTCTGGAAAGAAAACTGAGTGGGAGCAAGCACTTGGATGCTTCTCTGTGGCCTTCATGAACAGCTGAGTGTTCCACTGTCTTCACAGAGAGCACCATCACTATCATGTCCCAGGCACTGATGCTATCAGTCAAGTAAAACATGTTCAACCCGAGTTCAGGTTCACAAGCAGTAGATCTGGATATATAGGCCTTTTGCTCTAGCACTCACTAGGTTTGTGATTTTGGGGGAGTTTTCTTCCAGGACTCCAAATTCCTTATCTACAGGATTAGGGTAATGGCAGTATAGAGTGAAGATCATGGTAGCAGTTCCCTCAGAGTTGTTACAAACAGGCACGTGTTACTACATTAAAATAGTAACCGGAAGTACTTAACACACAGCAAATGTCCAATCAAAATTACAAATGGTTAGAGTAAGTCATAGCTACTCTATGAGGTCAAGATTACTAAGTATTAGCAGGATTGGCATTTGTGGTGCCATACTTCGAAATGAGATTGATTCGTGTGATGTAAGATATTTAGCAGCATCCTGGCCCCAGCCACAAGATTATAGCAGTATGTTCCCAGTTATGACACCCACATTTGTCTTTCCAAATTGTCAAATGTCCTTCAGGCAGAAAGAAAGGAGATATCATTGCCTGCTCATACAGATACAAAACTGGAAGTCCATGGGGTCTGGATAACTTGCCCAAGGCCAAAGGAGATGAAGGTAGGATCAGGATTCAAACTCTACCCTTCTCACCCTGGGGCACGCTCTTTGCTCTTTCCCATACCCTCTCTGTACTTGTGGCCCAAGCGGCTCTGCCCTCACCCTAGCACATTTGCAGATCCGTGCTAATTACACAGCAACGTAAAACTTTATATGTGGTTTGTTATTTTATATCCAGGAACATGGTCCGCAGCCTTCATTACATAAAGCAGCTGTGTGTATACATGGGGTCTAAGTGCCATTTAGTGGTCAGCTCGATGGGGTATTTTGTTTCAAGCATCACATTTCCTTTTTCCCTTTCTAGACTTCAGTGGGGTCCTAAAGAGAGGAATGGAGCTTCACATAGCTTGGCCTAGAGTGACAGGCAAGTCCTAAATGATAGTTACTCTGTATCCTAATTAGATTGGAAGACAGACAGAGCCCAGGGCTGCCATATGTGGTGTGGATGTACTCCCTAGTGAGTGCACGTGCACAAATGTGTTCACAAGCCACACCCTCGTCTGTCTGCTCCCTGTGCACTTTCCCCATTTGTGGACTGGAGGGGGCAGAGGGTTTAGCAGAGAGATTTAGACAGATGACTTTCTAACAATCAGCTGCGTAATTTGACTGTGTCATTGTTCCCCTCTGAGACATGTCCTCAGCTTTAAAATGAGGGCAAACCCAGCTGGGGAACTGGCACAGTTAGTAAAGTACCTTGCTACACAAGCTCAAGGACCTGAGTTTAGATCCCCGTGATGCAGGTGAAAGCTGGGGGCCATAGCATACACCTGTGATCCCAGCACTGGGGAAGCACCTATCATCATCCCAGTGCTGGGGAGGCAGAGATAGGAGGATCCCTGGGGTTGGCCGGCCACCTCAGTTAGCTACTCTTTTTGGGCCACTTCTTGGTCCCTAGCCAGAATGCTCTCTCTCCTTGCTCCTCCTTCAACTCATTGCTTTCACCATTATCCTTACCTCAAATTGAATCTGCTTTTCCTGCATAGACCAGTTCAAAGCATGTCTCATCCAGAAAAGTTTCCTGGACCTCCTGGCTTTCACTACACCTGGATTTTTATGATAGCCCATCACCTGGCCTTTATATGCTATTTTCTTTATTTTAAAATCCTTTTTTTTGTTTGTTTGTTTGTTTTGTTTTTCGAGACAGGGTTTCTCTGTGGCTTTGGAGGCTGTTGTCCTGGAACTAGCTCTTGTAGACTAGGCTGGTCTTGAACTCACAGAGATCCTCTGCTTCTGCCTCCTGAGTGCTGGGATTAAAGGCGTGCGACACCAATGCCCAGACTAAAATCCTTTCTTCTTCATCCTAAAACATTTACTTGACAGGTTGTATGTGTTCAAAGTGGTGATTTAATAACATATAGATGCTGCATGATAATCATGACCTTTAAACTCGTATGCACACACTATTATTATTAAACAGAACTTACCTTGTAACTGAAACTTTGTCCTTTTGACCAGTCCTGAACTTGTTGCTAGGAAAGTTAAAATCAGCACAACCATTATTAAAAAAACACACACAAGAAAAACAAACAACCCCCCCCCAAAAAAAAAACAGCCTGGAGGTTTTTTGTTTGTTTGCTTTTATAACAATACAACAAATCTCACTTGGGAATGCATATCCAAAACAAATGAACTCAGCATCTCAAAGAGATCTCAGCCCTTGAGTTCATTGCAACAGCACTCACTGAAATGTCTTTTAACTCAACACCTACAGGTGTTTCTTGTTCAAAAGTCACAAGTAGCTGGAGGAGGGCAGCTCACTTACAGCACAGAACATATGGAGACAGTACATGAGAGCTGAGCCATTGCTATCCTGAGGGCTACCCACAGCCAGCCATGTACACCTCCCACCTGGAGCCTGACTTGTCAGCCACCCTCGGGGCAGCCACAGTTTCTACAGATCACGCTAAGATTGTCTCCTCTGACAGGCAGGCTAAAACACTTTCTGAGTTCCTGCATAGTACTTGCTGGCACACTTGGATTCTGACCTTGTCTAGTTCTAGTTCTGCTCCATCATCCTTGCCAGTTTCCCTAATGCACCAAGTGCAAACACTCCTACTCCTTTGCACATGCGATTCCCAAGGCCCTTAATGCTTTCTCTTCCTTCCTTCTTCCTGCCCAACTCCCCCTTGTACTTTTGCTGGTGGTGATTTTGAGGTTTGGATTTTTGCTTTGTTGTTGTTTTGTTTTGAAGCAGTTCTATGTGGCCTAGGCTGTCCTTAAACTCTCCATCTTCCTTCTTCAGCTTCTAAGTGCTGAGGTTTTAGGAGGTGTAAATTCCAGGTTCCCGCTCTTTTATTTTTTTTAAAAGCAGGATCTCTTAAATTCATGTAGTTGAACATGCACTTGAATCCCTGACCCTTCCATCTTGTAAGTGCAGAGATTGCAGGCATGCACCACCACACCCAGCTTCCTGCTCACTCTTTAAAGATTGATTTCCGCTAACTCTAATTGGTCTCAGAAGGTTTAAAAACAACAGCAAAAAGAAGACACCTTTTCAGCAAAGATCTTTGCTGATGTGATATTCTCTCCCCTAAGGCTATCTTGGTTGGTCCTGCTTGCCCTTCTATTTGTTTCTCCAAGCTCCATTTGTTTATCTTCCTTTCCTCTCCACTGGGTGGGAAGTTCCCTGAGGGCTAAATCTGGGGCTGATTCCTCTGTTCCTAGGGTGTCCCCACTGGACTGTGCCACCGTAGTGTTGTCTTTAATGCCTGTCATACTACTTAGCTGCTCTGATCCCTTGTTACATTTTTGTGACCACAGCATTTCTTTCTGCTTTAGTGACAGAGTACCTCTTGCCCAGTCATCTCAGTCTCTGCGTTCTTCAGGTGCTTTCTCTTACTCTAGACTGTCTTAAACATTGTCTCCGCCTGATTCTTCAGCCCACTTTCTTTCTCCCCAGTCTGGGAAGCAATCCTGTTCTTCATTCACCAAGGATTAACTAACTTCCAGGCAAGGCTGAGGTAGAGAACACAGAGCTTGGGAGCAGTGGGTGCATGCTGGCTACAGGAGTCAGAGCCAGAAGTCATATCATTTCCATTTAAAAATACTGTGATGGTCAGTGGCCCACAGCCCAGAGCAATGTTCTTCCTTTGAGCCAGCAGCTAAGTCCCTCATCTCTCACCCTGGAAGGGACACCTTTCAACAGAGCAGGGCTCCTGAGGCCAACTTTGTTGGTTTAGTTACGCTACAAGGCTTCTGCTCCTGCCCCTGCTGTTACAGCCTACAGATTCCTGGTACCAATCTGATTGAACAACTTAATTAAGATGCAATAAAAGAAAAGTGGTCCGGATGTGCCCCAGGCAGAGCAGTCTAGAGTCTGCAGCCATTGCCCCCTCTTGAGCCCAGAGTCCTTTCTCACCCTGCTGAAATGCCCTCCTCTGGCAATGGCCTTAAAGGAAGAGCTTTAGTGTTGGGTGCAGGGGCCCTTAAAGGTTAGTTACTCCACCAGCTTGTTTATGCTGCTGGTGGGTCACCTCAGTTCATTGGCATGTCCAGAGAGGATGGTGAAACTTCCCAAGTGGCCCAGCCTCTAGTATTTAGGACTTAACACCACCCAGGGCTTATCTCACAAGACCAAATAGGAAGGCAAACATTTTAAAACACTGAAACTGAGCTGGAGAAGTGGCTCAATGGCTAATACACTCTGCTCTGGCAGAGGACCTGAGTTCAGTCCTAGCATCCACATCAGGTAGCTCTTAATACCTGAAACTCCAGTTCCAGGGGAGAGCATGGCCTTCTCACATACATGTGGCAGACAGACACACACACTCACACATAACTAAAAATAAAATAATTAAAAAACCCACTGAACCCCTTGTTCTTGTTTATTGTTTTTGGATAACAGCTTTAGGAACTGTAATTCACATGCCATGTACCCTTTTAGTTTATTCAGAGTTGTGCAACCATTGCCATTTGAGATGTTTTACCACTCCCCAAAGAAAGCCACTAACCCTTTGTTATGATCTCTCCATCTCCTCATTCTGCTTTGTTCTGGGTGACCACTATCCTTCTTTCTGCCTCTGTATACATGCTCACTTCTGTCCTCTCTGAAGTCAAGAAATATTCTATCCTAAATATGCCTCATTTTTAAAAAGATTTATTTATTTTTATGTGCATTGGTGTTTTGTCTACATTTGTGTCTGTGTGAAGGTGTCAGGTGCCCAGAACTGGAGTTACAGATAGTTGTGAGCATCAATGTGGGTGCTGGGAATTAAACCCAGGTCCTCTGGAAGAGCAGCCAGTGCTCTTAACCTCTGAGCCATCTCTCCAGCTCCCTATTCCTCATTTTTTAAGAACTGTATGTCTTTAAGGTATATAGCCTGATGTCTTGACACACCATAGTTGGCTCTCCATTCACATCTGACGGACAGTTAGTTGGGTTGTTTCTACTTTCTGGCTACTGTGAACAACACTTTGGTGCACAGAGATTTGTGTTTCTATATGTTTTCAATTCTCTTAGATTGGCAAACTTATTTGCTCTTGTGCCTCATTAACAACACCAATGCAATTCAGGTGATGAGCCTAAAAGCCTTATCACACACATTGATTCACTGAAAAATAGTGAGGCCAGGAAGAAGGTTGGAGAAAACCAGACTCCAAGATACTGTTCTGCCCTTGCTCACAGTCCTACAGGAGGCCTCAAAGGAGGAAGTTAGACCTCTGACAATTAATTACCTGCCAAAACCTTCATCATTTTAAGGAAGAGATATGAGATGAGAAAACATACAGCCACACCTACTATCACTTTAAACTTGATCTGGTCTTTTTTTTTTTTTTTAATTCCCCAATGTACTATCTTCAAATTCCCTAGTGAAGAGTATATTCCTGCTTCTCAGTGGATTAACACTCACACTCTCTAATCAACTAACCCCGTTCTCACTAAGGAGATGGGTGACTCTGTAGGGAGTTGGGGGCCTGAGTTGGGCAGCATCATTCAAGGACTTCTCTTCTGTCCTAGCTACAGATCTCAGAGCTCTGTGTGTGGCAGACAGAGCTACTACACTGTGTCCTGGTGCCCTATTTTCTGGGCATTCTGGCCTGCTCAACATCTGTCACCAGGTAGGTGTGTGACAAAGAGGCTGAGCAGAACAAATTGCTCCAGATACCCAGTAGTTTGAACTGTAGCCAATTACCAACATACATTTATTTTCAGCCTAACCAAGAAAAAAAAAAAGTCAATTTCACATGACTAGTGGGGTTCAACCCATCATTCTATGGCACAGACTTCCTACCCTTCTGGTCTGCCTCTTAATTGTTCACACTCTGGGTTTGGCGAGGTAAGCTGTGCTTCCTCATTCAAAGTCTGACCATTCCTTTCTCCAGCTGTTCAATGTGCCCTGGGGCACGAGTGGGAGAGAAGGTGAGGAGATCTCTTAGCTGGGAGTCTAGAGGCCTAAGGATCAGGCCTGGGCTCCCATTAGCTGACCTGCCTGCAGTCTGCTCCCTCAATTCATGTGCCCTGTAAGTAAAGCTGTGCCCTAGCCACCTTCGACTTCAAATCATGGAGTAACTTCTCACAACTGTAATTACAAAGATATGCTCCCAGGCCTGGCGTGTAGAAACAGTGTCAGTGTCTGCCACCTGCTTTCTGTGGCCAGTCCCTTGAAGGCCCTTCGCTCTCACTTTTGGCACTGGCTGCTCTAACTGCTTCACTTCCTTATATTAGCTACCACTGGCTTCTTCTTCGAGATCACCTCAAAGGTCTCTGCCCTGACTCCAGCTGTTTTAGAAGCCCTTTTTCTACCTGTCTTTCCTTGGTCTTCTGGTAGGACTGCTTGTGTTTTAATTGTCTTTTGCATATCTGACCTTCTCTCTCAGATGTAGACTTCTGATAATATTACCTAATTCATCCTTTAACCTTAGATGCCATGATACAGTACTTAGAATATCTTTTTTAACAAAAGGTTGTAAGGTGTGTGTGTGTGTGTGTGTGTGTGTGTGTGTGTGTGTGTGTGTGTGTGTAGTTTAGTTTTCATTTTCAGAACAGGGTAGCCCTGTGTAGCCCTGGCTATCCTGCAACTCTCTAATGTAGACCAGGTTTGCCTCAAACCAAATTCAGAGATTTGCCTATGGTTGCCTCCTAAGTGATGGAAGTAAAGTCTTCTGCCGCCACCACCACCTAGGGACAGAAGGTTTTTATCCATTGACATCTCTAAGGATCCCTTTATCTCCAAGGAACAGAACAGGTTTGATTTTAAGGACTTTTTCAATTCCTATCGCCTACGAGATGGACATGAATTCTTACCCTTCCACATCCACACACAGGGATTTCATGTGGACCCAGGAAACTAGACCTGAGGATGCCTGGTTAAATGGAAGCTTCCAAGGAATTCTGATAGTTATTTTATGTTCTCAGACATTTATTTTAATGCAGAGAGGGTTTGCAGAGTGCCTAGGAACATGCATGTCAGTGTTAGGTACAGCACAGCAGGACACATAGTTGTAAGTAAATACCATATTCCCTGGATCTCCAGTGACCATCTAATTTTTCGACATACCTCGAAGTGTCTACCAAAATCCTGTCCTGCTGGCTGCTTATTCTTGCCAAGACTCGCGTATGTGCTCAGCGAAGATGGCCCAAGTCCCCAAATTTGTCATTGCCTGACCATTGAGCTTCCACCTCTTGGCCTGAAGTCCACTGAGCAGAGCATCAGGCCGGACGCCCTCTGGCGGTGGCGCTCCGGAGCTATGGGCCAGCGCGGAGCTGGCGAGAGGAAAGGAGAGGGAGGAGGGGGGAGGCGCAAGCAGGGGAGGAGAGGAAAAAGTTGCGCTGGGAAGTTTGGAAAGTTGGGAAGTGGCTGCTGCGGGC